TTTACACTATAGAAAATATATTGAAATTTGTTTGCATGTTAAAATATTTATATAATATTATATCCATATATAATATATTAATGTGTTCTGATGTTCTGACAAAATTAAATATTTTTTTTAATAGTGAATAACAATATTTATAATTATTCTTACAGTGACTTAATTTTTATCACTCTGGTTTATTCACTAAAGTGAGAATTGTTGGGAATTTAAAATTTAAGTCCAAAGTAGCTGTAATTTTTTCCAATTTGATTATTATGGCTTTAAATTCGAAATTAACTTTAAATTATCTTGTGAATAAGCCTGTGAGAGAAGTTTCAGTAATGTGCAGTCTGACAGTCATATTTTCATATTTTCTCAGTATATCTGTTAATCATTTTAAGGGAAGCATTGTCAAAGGGATTTACATAACACAATATATTCAAAGTAAAAAAACACACACATAGTTATGTAAACCTACACCCACATGAAAGAAGAATTATGACACCAACTCTACTTTTTGCTTTGTTAAAGCACAATTACACCACACTTCTTTGGCAAATTCTTTTAAAGAAAGTTGAAATTATTCTTGAAAAAAATATATAAAAATCAGTTTGTTAGCAGCTAGAGAGTAAACTTTAAAGTAACACTATAGTGTCAGGAATACTAACATATATTTCTGACAGTATAGTGCTGGTGTGGCAGTTTAGGTCCCCAACCTCCTGCTTCTCTGTGGAGTGAAAAAGTGTTTTTACTCACCTTTTCTCCCTTGTTCTGCTGGTCTCACCCCAGCTGGCTCCATCAGGCAGCACGTACACAGGAAGCACCTCTAGTGGCCATCAATGTGACTGCCCTAGAGGTGTTCCTAGGCAGTAACGTAACCACTGCCTTTTCTCTGAAAAGGAAGTGTTTACGTTGAAAAGCCTGCAGGGACAGGCTAAAGATAACAGAACAACTATATTAAGCTGTAGTTGTTCTGGTGACTACAATGTCCCTTTAAATAAAATAAATAAATAAATAACTATATAAACCTCCACTTCAATGTGCATCATGGTTGTAGGAGGTGAAAAGTATGGGGAGATGGGCACAAATCCCCCCACATAATCTCGTTGGGATGAGAGGGGTAAATTATCCCTCAGTCAATGATGGTGTAGCTTTTAAAATTATATGTTTTACCATTAAAAAGGACAAGCTAAGCACCAAAACAACTTTAGCTTTAGCTTAATGAAGCAGTTTTGATGTATAGATCATGCCCCAGCAGAACCATTGCTAGATTCTCTGCCATTTTGGAGCTAAATTACTTTGTTTATACAGCCCTAGCCACACCTCCCTGTATGTAACTCACACAGTCTCCCTACACACTTCCTGAAAAGGAAGTCAAATGTAATGTGCGAGTCACAGCCGAGGGTTGTGTAGATAGAACTGCATAAACAAAGTTACTTAACACCCAAACTGCAGAAAATCCCTGTAGGAGCAACAATAGTACAGTAGTAGTTTATCTACAGTAGTAATACAGTAGTATTTTATCTACTGTTGCTTTAAAATAAATATTTATTAATGAATTCATTTATTTTTAGCATTCACACTTTGACTCTATGACAACTATGATTCATGCCCGCTTTAATTTATTCTGTTCCTTTCTACCTGCTGATTTACTAGGTGAGGTGCAGTGTCTCACTCTTCCAAGCCCCGAGTTCAGTCTATGAACAATGAGTAAGAGACAGAATTAATGATGGCTGATGAAAACTGCTGCCACCCAGGAATGTAACACTTATCAATACCACGTATGTCCTGGTGTTACATGAACACTTTATCGACCTCATGATGGTCTATGCTGCTGTGCAGTGCAGAGCTTTAACCTGCATTCAAGACATCGATCATCACCAGATGTGTTAAGTCCATGCTGGTACCAAGGAGCCCCAGGTATCATTGGATAACTGAGGATCCCCTCTGACAGCTGGGTCCAACTTGAGAGTTGACCTTTGTGCAGTGCTCAAAGTGAGCATGGTACATATACCTTTAAATTTCTTTAAGCACTGTAACCAAGCAATTGCGCTCAGCTGCAGTGATTCTGAGCCTGCCCCAGTGATGAGAATACCATCCGGGTCTAAATAGACCCTGCTCAGGTCTCCTTGAATGCCTATCTGCCCAATGATTGGTGCTGGGCTTTGCCAGTGGCCCAGCATTGATCACAGTGTGCATGAGTTGCAGAATAAGATGTCCTTTCATTCTTCAATCTCACAGTATACACTAATCAGCTACAACATTAAAATCACCTGCATAAAATCATGGATGTCCCTGACGCTACAGACCGGATGTGTTAGGAAGCTTTGTTCTTCACATGCTGGAAGAGTTGAGTCGGTAGTCATTTGCCCATTGACTTGTTTCAACTTTAAACGACTACTGCTGGAGCTGCTTCCTATTATTCATTAATACAATATTTTAAAAGGAAAAATTATCAGTCATCATTATAAAGCTAAAAAATGTCTGATATTTGATATATAATGGCCAGACTGATGAAACAATAGACAGAGATATAATATACAGAG